TTATAATGCCCTCCAGTACCGGGTGAGGGGCATACAATCTGGGGAAGGGGTCATTTGACTGACAATAAGGTAACTATTACATAGGGTGGAAGGTATGGCTTCCAATTCACAAATCTTAAGTTTTTATCTGCCTGTCCCATTTCATTCTCTCCTAAAATTTCTGATCCCGACTTTTAAGGGTTGTGAAGGATACAGTTTCATCACATCTTCTGTAGCTACTTTCTGCTGATCAGAAGTGTAAGACTTGCATGTCTCAGGTCAGGAAATCTCTCCGTATCTAATCTAATGTGTCCACCTTAGGAACCACAGAATGTGCAGTTGGTGTCAATGGCTGTCAATGGCCTTTCCACTGTCTTTGCCATTTGCACCATGACTTTTTAAATGGCATCAGAATTTATACACCAGGATTATTTATAAAATTATTCCCTCTTTATAAAAGAGGTATGTAGAGATATATTTAACTCAGTACTCATACAGTCATTCATACAGTCAAAAGCTACTGACTAGTGTGCTGTTTTGGGCACTAGGAAAGACTAGAGTGATGTATAAGGCATAAATTTTATCCACAAAGAACTTACAATATAGAGTAAAGATAAGAAGTTCACATGAATAGATGTGACATAAGGGAGAAAGGTAAACTAAGTATTGTGTAAAGTATTCTACATGAATTAATTTATGATAATTACCTTTACATTCATTTAAGCATAATCACAGGAGATTTAGGGATAGAATAATTTCACTAAGCTTATACAACTAGTAAATTGTAGAAACATTATTTTAGCATGGTTATTTCACTCCAAAGTCAATGTATTCAACTGTTTTACATACTGCCCCCCCACCAAGAAGTGGAACACAAAAAAATTCTATGGATATTAACAAGTTGTGACTATTTCCAGCCTTTTCTTTGTGGGAGCGGCATTTGGGACAGCATGATGGTGTAGAATTTGAAATGAGCTGTGGTCGGTTTGGACAGGTGAATGGGAAGAGGAAGAGTGTTGTAAGTATGCCAGAGTAGTCTGAGCGCGCACACACACACACACACACACACACACCAATGAGCGGGAAGTGTGGCTAGAGAGTGGGATGTGTAAAGGGAAGCAGTGTGAGCTGAAAATGAAGGAGTACACATAACTTTGAAATGTCAGGTTATGGAATCAATGCCCGGAACTCAGTAACTGCAGAGGGTAGAAGTAGTGCTGGCTCTTTGTTGGGGGTTACACATCTTTTTAAAAAGATGGTGATTATATAGCCCTTCCCTGGAAAAATAAACCTGTGCACATTATCCATGCTGATTGCCTGATAAATAAGATATTCCTAATTGTTTGCCTTCTATCTTAATGTCTTTCCCAATTTAAAGATTTTTTTCCCACATTTGCATTCATTTTTGTCTCTTTTCAGAAATATCCATCCTTCCTCCTGTCCGAGGCAATTACTCTCTTTACTTGTTCTGTCGGTCCTACCCTCCCTTGCCCCCTGGTATTCCTCTCTCTGAGGAGCTCTTCCTCACCCCTGCCTTTTCAAAAAGTGCCTAGACTTGGGTTCCTATCTCTTGGCTACTCAGCGTCTCACTGTTTCATCATCTCCTTCATAATCATGTTAGTTCAAAGTGCTCAGTAAACACATATTGCTTAGTAAAGACTACAGGCTTATTATATCTATCACTGCCTTTCAGTGATAATAATTAGAAAAAATAAGTTATAGGATTTCAAAAATAAGTTAATAAAAACAAAAACCACCTGTGTAGTATGTTAGTTGTAAAACCAGAATTTGCCAAGCACTTTGCACAAGTTTTTCTTCATTTGCAACTCTCAAAACACCAACATTCCAAGTAATATCACCTTGAAAAATGCCAGGGAGTTCAGCCTAGCCATGAAGACGACACTGAGATGGTGACAGCCCAGAGCAGAGTAGCACGATTTGATTCCAGGCTCTTGCTCTTAACTCCACTTCCTCACTAATGAAGAAGAAGAGCCAGCAGGAAATGGTTCAAGTAAAAGATCTGCAGTGGACTGTTGGCTTCTGACTTCAGCCTGGCTCAGCCTGGGAAGTGAACGAACAAATGGCAATTCTGTCTCTCTGCCTTCAAATTAACTAATAAAAAAAATAAGAAGAAAAGGAATATGCAAATCAGAGTCCCTGACTTCTGAGTGTGAGATTCTCTTGTCATTCTATCACCTGATTTCCTTGTTGGACTCATGGACTACACTGCATGTCCTTGACCTTGCTTCCTGATAGGGATCAGAATGTAGCATACTGCTCTTTTATGCTCTCATTTTCCTTGGGTGATCTTAGAGATTTTTAACTCCATGACCAATTGGCTCTCAAATTTCAAACCCTTCACATCTTTTTGCAATTTTTTTGAATATCTAACAGAACAAACTCAGACAATCATTTTCTCTCTTTCTCAAGACACTGCTTCTTCACATTTCCAAACATAGTTAATAACTTCTGTAACAGTCTTCTCACAGGCAAGATTCTTGTCATTCCTACTCCTTGCAACTAGCCAATTATTATAGTCCTCTATACGATATCTTCTGTTTTTGCAGTTGTCCTACACTCCTCATTGCAGCCAGTAATTTATTCCAGGTTCTCATCACCTCTGGTGTGGACAACAATGGCTTCTGACATGTGCTCTTACCTCAAGCCTGGGAATAGTATTATATTCTCCCTGGGTCCAGAGTGCCCTAAAACTGCATCTGACCTCATCATTGACATGAATGAAATGTTTCCCAGCATCACTGCAGCCTTTGAGAGGATGGCCAAGTTCCTACTGCACACAGCCTCCTTCCTCCAGTCTCAACTCACGAGAATCTCCACCTCATCATTTTTAACTAAATGATTTAGTGCCAGTGTATTTCCACACATAAGTTGAGATTTTAGCAAATGTTTCTTGCTGTTTGCAAAACTTGTCAAACCTTTCTCAATTTTTTAACCTATTCTTCAAAATTCAAGACAGAAACTTGTGTTCCAAGAAGGCCTTCCAGGATCCATGTTGTTTGAAGGGCTCTACTTTGTGAAATTACAGCTTCCTTTGTATTTCTGGACAATTCTTTGGTTCTTTATCTGTTCTTCCTCTAAGCTATCGCCTCCTCTAGAGAGGGAACTTCAGTTATATGTGCCTTTTTATTGCAAGGGCCTAACATAATACCTTGCATATGGAGGATATTCAATATCCGTATTTATATGGCCTGCATAACCACAGCCAACCTGAATGAAGCCACAGTCTGGCATCAGAGGATAAGGACCCAAAGATTCTTCCTGCTCTTTATTATGCTTGATTAATTTTGCATTTTTAAATTCAAACTCATTTTCTCCTGCTTTATTTCATTTGCAAACAATACTGACATTTAGTTGATTTAACCCACCAATGGATTGCAATTTAAAAATTAACAAAAGCCCAACAGTGATGTTGTGGAATAAATGAAGATTTTTATAGACAGAGAAAAATGGTTTTGAAACTAATCTCCTCTCCTTATTTGTTATTTGGCCATGATCAAGTGTCTGAATGTCTGAACCGGAGATTCTACAGCTTAAAATGAAGTATACTTAATTCACAAAGTTATGATAAAGTTATCAGCCTGTAATATTGTTTTCTTTCAAAAATGACATCTCATGGATTTCCCATCTTCTATCTGTGGTGATTTCTTGTGTAGCTCAATTCCTTCCTAAATAAACTTCAGTTGGTGATGGAGAATCATCCTCAGAGGCCAAGTTTAGATGTAAGATTTACTGGTTTTTTTTTTTTAATTTTCTGATTCTGCTTATTACCATTCTTGTTTCACAGATAAACTAAAATGGAATAGCACTGCAGCTATATATTTAACTATCTTTAGTGTTAAAATCAATTGCACTTCTGAATATAAACATAAGAAACATTTTTATCAGTAACTTTCCAATCAATGAAGTTTGCACAGTATTCTGCCTGAATATTTAGAAAAAATAATATTTAGAAAACAAGTTCAAACTTTCCCTTCTTTGCTGATAAAAAATTCTATACTTTTGTTTTAAGATTGAACTGCTGGTTTCAGTTGGTAGAGTAGAGTTTGCCAGAATAATTATCTGTGAGTTAACTGTCATGCTGTACGAGGGCTCACTGTTTAAAGTGCTTTGTGTAGGCTGTAACTCTCTCCTTTTAGCACCAGCCATGGAAATAAAAAAATAAAATGAAAGTATTTTCAGTATGCAGAAGGCCTCAGTTGGTCTTTCTGATACTGTGGCAAAAGTCAGTTTTTCACATAATGTTTGAATCAGTGCTAAGTCTTTCAGAGAGAATGGCTGGATAGGCACAGGTGTGGCAGTGAGAAAATGTTGTTGCAGTTCTCACCCATTTCTCTCCTCAGTTGTTAATATCTACAACATGGCAGCAGCAAAATACGGGTGTTATTTAAAACTTTCCCCACATTTGTGACAGCATGATGTCCCATATATTTTAAGCAGGTTGATTCATATCAAGACATCTGCGGAATATGGCACAGGCACCAACATTTGACATAGTGGTTACCACTTGAGATGCTTTAACATTTAATATCACAGTGTCTGACCTCAAATTCGCTGTGCTCCAGATTCTAGCTTCCCACTGATGCATACCATGGGAGGCAGCAGGTGATGCTTGGGCAAGTGCTTGGGCTCCTGATATTTGGGATATGGATGGAGTTCCAGGGTTCTAGCTTTGGACTAGCTCAGGCCCTGCTGTTGCAGGCATGCAGGGAGTGAAACTGTAGGTATATCTCCCTATTTCCGTCTCTCTGTCTTTCAAAAAATAAAAGATTTTATAAAGCATATGAAAGCTCAGCACTACATGTGAGAAAAAATAGTATACTAAACAGTTAGTTGAGTTGTTTATTGATGCTTTTTCTCAGATTTGTAGTAACTATGATCACACTTTGCGCACACACACACACACACACACACAGAGGCAGTGGTAATGGTAAGAAAGATAGACATCAATGTTGCACTTTGTGAAATGCTTGTCCATAACAAAGGGGTGGTTTGTTCTTGAAATGAAAAGATGTAATATACACTAAAATTGGAATGATACAGAGAAGATTAGCATGGTCTCTGCACAAGGATGACAATAAATTTATGAAGCATTGCAGATTTTAAACAATAAATAAAAAGATGCAAGGATGTTATATATTTGAATGATGGTTGATGCTTAAAAAACACTTTTGAGGTCCGTTTATTCTAATTTTAACATACAAAGCTTTAGTTAGAATATAAGTTAGAAACACGTTAGAAATTTAAATACTAAAGAAATAGGCATCTGTTAATGATGACTCTAAGGATTTGGTGAATTCTATGAACTCTTTGAGTATACTATTTATGACCAAGCAAAGCAACCTCTTAACTCAAAGAGAAAGGAGAAAAGACTCACAAAGACTCATAGGCTTTTTCAACATCAAATAGCTTTTACTAAACAACATTTTGATGAGTTAAGTGTGAGTGAGTCAGGGACATATGGATTAAATTTCCCTTGAAATACACATGGGCTTAAGAACTAAGGGGGAAATCCTGAGCAAAATGTATTAAAAATATCCAGAATGTTTAAAAAGAGTGTTTTTCCTAAATACAATATCAAGTGGAACTATTTCTGATTAGACTATAAAATTAAAACTACATAAGAATAACCTGGAGGAGTAATTTTTTAAATGCTTGCTTTGCTGGGGCAGGAATGCTACATACAGTGTATTAGAACTGTGTTGTGTGGAGTAGCCCAGCCTCAGAAGACTGGGCTATGACAGAGTTTGTCTGCACTTGCACATGGAACAATGAACATGCTCTCTCTCTCTCTCTTTTTTTTAAGATTTGTTTATTTATTGGAAAGTCAGATATACAGAGAGGAGGAGAGACAGAGAGGAAGATCTTTCATCTGATGATTCACTCCCCAAGTGAGCGCAACGGCCAGTGCTATGCCGATCTGAAGCCAGGATCCAGGAGCTTCTTCCTGGTATCCCACACGGTTGCAAAGGGTCCCAAAGCTTTGGGCAGTCCTTGACTGCTTTCCCAGGCAACAAGCAGGGAGCTGGATGGGAAGTGGAGCTGTCGGGATTAGAACTGGCGCCCATATGGGACCCCGGGGCGTTCAAGGCGAGGACTTTAGCCGCTAGGCCACGCCTCCAGCCCAACATGTTCTCTTCTATAGGAATTATTCTTGGCCCACTAAACAACTGTAATGAAACTTTCACTATTTGGGCAAAGGACCGTTCTTTAATAATGTATTTCTGTTAAAAAGATTAGCTTTTAGAATGACTTCATTATTTTATCGCAGAATCCTTGGTTCTTCCATCTTTCCAAATGTTCCATAAATCACTTTACTTCTTTTCTAGATCAGTTTATAGATAACACTCAATTTATATATTATCAATTTGTCTATGATATTTACATAGTCTAAGTAAACACACTGAAGGTGTAAATTATTTAGCTGATCATCTCAATTGGGAAATTTCATCGACTAGGGAAGGCACATTCTGAGTTACAACTTCTTGGTTGTTTGAGCTACTGAGAGGTAACTGGTATGGGTGCTAACTCTCCGAGGATGTTTTCCTGTCACAGTCTGACTACCTTTTGCACCGGCTAGACAGCTATGAGCTGTATTAGGGAAAAACTAAACGAGCAAGCGAATGCACACTAAGATTTAGAGAGGAAGACATAATCGACCTTCAGAAAAACTGTCAATCCACTCAATATGTTTTTTTTTTTATCAGTTGACACCTTATTTCATAAGACAAAACAAAACAAAATAAAAACAGCTTTAGGAGCTGACACAGTGGCTCTACCGGCTAATCCTTTGTCTTGCAGAATCTGTATCCCATGTGGGTGACAGTTTATCTCCCAGCTGCTTCACTTCCCATCCAGTTCTCTGCTTAAAGCCTGCAAAAACAACAGAGGACATCTCAAGTCCTTGGGACCCTGTCTTCACAAGGGAGACCCAGAAGAAGCCCCTGGCTCCTGGCTTTGGATTGGCTCAACTCTAGCCTTGTGGCCATTTGAGGTGCAAACCAGTGGATGGAAGATCTTTCTCTCTCTTTCCTTCTCTCTGTAAATCTAACTTTCCAATAGAAACAAATAAATCTTAAAAAAAAAGTTTTAAAACACTCTGCCCTCTAAATTATCATGGCTATCCAAGAGATTCACAAGGGGACGTGACCCTTAACAGAGCCTCTTAATAGAACACATTCCTGTTTCTATATTGTTCTCATTCTTAAGGTACATAACTTACATTCTCTGAGTTTCACATTCATGATCTCAGTATTTATATAAAGGATGATAAACCTGCCAGTATAAAAAAATCCATTAAAAATCCGACTCATATTTCAATGCTTCTTGTGTTGCTATTTTCCTATACCAACTACTTTTCCATAACTACTCAGAGGAATGGCAATCTATTGATCATTTGGTAAACTTTCTATTTGTTACATTTTTTGGATTAAGAGTATCAATGGTATGGCTGGTTTATATATTGCAAGGTTAAGAGACATACTACTAAAATAATACCATTGGGTATTGGTAAGAAAGAAAATGAAGACAAGCTTCCCTCAATGTTTCCAAATCATAGAAAAGCTAAGTGACAACCTGCATAATTAGATTTAGTTAGTATTAGCAATACTAATACTAATCTGACAATTCAAGTTCCTTCAATACTTCAATGGTGCAAAAACTATAACTGTTCTTTCTTGCTCTAGATATAAATTAATTGGATTATTAGAAAATTATCTCAGATTTCCAAGTTTACTTAACCTACATAAAGTTTTTCAGTGGGGATCTTTTAACAAGGAATACTGTATTGGAAAATTTCTTTATAGTTCATAGTTATATAATATATGGCTGCCACTTTTCAGGAATTTAAAGTGTGAAAGAGGATGAAAAACACAGATAAATATCTGTAACAATGCTTTGCTTTACGTTGTAAATGTCTTAATAATGATACAGTAAAATGTGGAGTAGATGTAATTTAAAGAATGACCGACCACAGCAAGTGTTGGGAAGGATGTGAGAAACTGGATATTGAGATATTGAGGATGGGTTCATTCACTTTAGTAAACACAGTATGCATTTCTCAAACAGCTCAACACAGAGGTGAGATTTCACCCTGCAATTCCCCTTCTCTTGTATATTACTCAAGAAATGGAAACATATGTTCAGATAGAACCTGTACATGAATGTTCCCAGAAGTATTATTCATAATCACCACAAAGGATAAAACAATTTCAATGTTCAATGAAAGAAAAAGCAATGTGGTCTATCAATACAGTAGAATGGACTCCGTTATAAGAACATATGTGCATGTCATATTATGGATGAATTTTGGGATTAAGTGAAAGAAGCCAGACATAAGACTATGTATGAATCCATTTATAGGACATTTTCAGTCTAGGTAAATCTACACAGAGTAGGGTATTCACTGAGCAGGCCTCCAGAGAGAAATGGAAAACTTAGAGGAGATAGCCAAAGGGTACACTTTTCTTTGCTGGGTGAAGAAATATTCTAAGACAGATTATGATAATGTGCTGCATAATTGTGACTATACTAAGATAACATACAATGAAAATGGATCAACATGATGACAGGTAGTTTATATATTAATAAAACTGTTTTCAAAAAATTAGCTAAAGATATTACGAGTATGTCAAGATTGGCCAATGAATACTTCATAATGTGTTTTAAGCTAGTCTTAAAGAATGCATAAAATTTTTGAAAACAGGAGATGGAGAGTGTCTATAAAATATACATATATTTATAGAATATAGAGAGATGCAGAGGATATTCCAGGAGATGAAAGAAGTTTGTACATTAATTGAGAAATTTGTATATTAGTTTGGACATTACGTGGATGGAAGAACAGCCTATACATATAAACAACAGAAGAATAAAATGATTATGACTTACAGTAATGAAAATAAAGCATAAAAGATCACCAATGCTATCATTATTATCATTATCAATTCAGATCCCTCTAAATTAGAAAAAAAAAGTTCTGCATGGACTCTAATACTATCAAGTAAAATATTTTACTCTCATCAAGCCTGAGCAATTTTGCTAAAAGAAAATAACCTATATTTCGCTAATCAAACACAATTCTTTCCTATTACTTGCAAAAATCCTTTTGTCAATTCATGCTAATTTGAGTTAATATTAAATTTCTTTCACTGAATACTTATTTCAAGAAAACAATTGGCTAGACTGTAAATTAGACTGAATAATAGAGAGTTTAGGTTAAAGTAATTTGAATTGTACCAATTAATATCAGTATTTTAAGTAAAAATACAGTTTAGTAAATTGAGATCTTTAATCACATGTGGAAACTTGGGTGCTCATTCATTTTGCTGAATCATTACAAAGCCAAAAAGTAAAAGTAAGTTAGATGTTATTAATATAGTAATTACTTAGTTGATTGGCATATTTCTACACTATAATCAGATTAGCAATTTTCTACCACACGTAATGCATTAAGTAATTAGTAATCACACACATTTAACTTGCCTCTTGAGATGAACAGCTTTGGAAGAAAGGGAACTAAAAGTGAAACAGAAAATTGAATGACATATAAAGGCTATCCAAGTTTATGGAACATTTCTTCAGTCATAAAACTAGTCAGATCCAAATAAAATGAAGAAAACAGGAAATAAGGTCAACATTTAAGTAGAATTGTGTGAAATACGTTTTTCAGATTGTTTTTAACTTACCAGAATGATTCTGAGTAAAACACAGACTATCCATAAAACTAAAATTATGCATTTTCAAGACTTCCAAGTACGCATAACACAGTCACTGCGAGCACTGAATTATATACAAATGATCTCACTTTTGCATCATTTTAGAAGAGTTTTTAAAAGCACACACACACACACACATACTCAAACATATTGAAAAATACTATTTGAGGGTGCTCACTGTGGCATAGTGCGTAAAGCAGACTAAGTGTCAGTTCATGTCCCAACTGTTCCCCTTGCATTTCTGGGTAGAATTTACAATAATATACTTAAAGGGATTAGGTGGAGCTGCAGCAAGTAACGAGTTGAGAATAATAGGGAGAAATGATTAGAGTTTAAACTAAATCACACAATTATGAAGCATACCTGTTAGCATATGTGAATGAGAAAAA